TGAAGAGAATGTCAACTACACCAACAACAGTTAAAAATTCATCTGACTCAGTTGCCAAGTGAATATAGGTAACAGGCATCCATACAGTAACATGAACTCAATCTGCTTCCTTTTCCAGTTAAAAGGTGCCAGATGATGACTAACTAGAAGGAAGAAAGAGAGTAGTGACTTCAGGCCGTTAGTGAAAATTAATTCAACAGATAAAATGCCAAACACCTTCCACATTCATGTGGAGACATTGTTAGTCTTTACCCATCAGAACAGAGTGGAATGAATGGTGCTTTAGCCCTTGACTGGTAAACAAAATGTTGGTGATTTAGCACACAACATCCAAAATGTTCATGCTGTTGTTGTTGTTGTTGTTGTGTGCCATAGGGTTGAGTACAACTCATAACAACTCTATGAACAACAGATCTAAATCCTGTCCTGTGCCACCCTCATTATCTCTGACATAACTGAGCCCATTGCTGCAGTCACTGTGTCAATCTATCTTGTTGAGAGTCTTCTTCTATTTGGCCTCCATCTTTCCAAGCATGATGTGTCCCCCTCCTATCAATATGCCCAAAGTATATAAGATTACTTTGCCTCTGAGGAGCACTCTAATTGTACTTTCTCTAATACATATGTTTGTTCTTTTGCCAGTCCATGAGATATTCAGTACTCTTCTTCAACACCACAGCACAAAGATATAGATTCATTTTATGTCATCTTTATTAACTGTCCAACTCACAGATGCATAGCAAGTGATGGAAAAGATCATGGCCTGTCAGGCACACTTTAGTCTTCAAACTGATATCATTGTTCCTCAATAATTTGAAGAGATCCCTGACTGCAGACTGTCCCAATGCAATACATGTCTTGATCTCCTGACTGCTGTTACAAGGGTGTTGATTAAGGATCCAAGTAAGATAATGATGTTGACAATCTTACCCTTTTCTCCATCTATCATGATGTTGCCTATAGGTCCAGTGGTGAGAATGCATGTGTTTTTGATGTTGAGATATAAACCATATTGAAGGTCGCAGCCTTTAATCTTCTGCAGCAAGCATTTTAAATTCTCCTCACTTTCAGTAAAGTTGTCTCACCTGCATAACATAGGCTGCTCATGAGTCTTCTCTGATCCTGAGCCCACATTCTTCACAGATTGAGCTTCTGAATAATTTGCTCAGCACACAGATTGAATAGGTCTGGAGAGATAAGACTGATACACAACTTTCTTAATGTTAAACTATGTAGTGTTCCCTTGTTCTGTTCACACACCAGTCTCTTAGTCCAAGTATAGGTTTCACATGAGCAGAATTAAGTATGCTGGTATTACCATTCTTAATGTTAGCCATAAATTGTTATGATCTACACAGTCAAATGCCTTTGTATAGTCAAAAAAAGATGTTCAATTTATTTTTGTTGTGTGCATTCCAGTCAGAACCAACACTAGCTGAACCTTCAGTGGGTTTTCAGAAGCAATAATTTTTATAAAGGAAAAATCAGATTCAAGGCAGAAGAGTCAAATCTCAGTTACATGGCAGAGAGGATCTGCTCCATAGGGCTTCCAAGACTGTAATCATGAAAAGATCTTTCTCACAGACAGCATCTGGTGTGTTCAAACCACTGCTCTTTTGTTTAACTGGTGACTTTCAGAACCCTTTTATTCATGTGACAAAACATTTGATATTGCCCTACTTATATAAAGGAAGCTTTGGTGGCTTAGTGGTAAGGAGTTGCACTGCCAGCCCAAACGCACACTGTTCAAGTTCACCAGCTTCTCCACAGGAGGAAGAAGGGCAATCTCTTTGCTTGTGATTTACTGAAAACCTGCTGGAAGGTCAGCTCATCAGTACACAAAAACAAAATACCTAAAGGGTGGTGGTTAGAACCCACCCAAAGTTACAGATTATTGTTCATTCTCATCGAGTCAGTGCTGTCTCATCAGGTGTGTCAGAACTGAACTGAACCTATAAACCCCATAGGTTTTCAAGACGGTAATCTTTCAGAAGCAGGTTACAAGCCTCTAGTTGGATTTTAACCACCAACTCATAGCTAATAATTGAATGTAGAAGCATTTGTTGCCACTGAAGAGACATACAGTCCTATGGAACTGTTGCATATAATACACAGGGCCACAGTAAGTAGAAATGTGAAATGGAAACTGAAGGATAAGAAGTCAGTATCTGTCAAACCATAGCCCATTTTGTTGTCCTGTAACTAAACACACCTTCAGGATAGCTGTTGTTGTTGTTGTTGTTGTTGTTGTTGTTATCTGCCATCAAGTCACTTATGACTCAGTGACCCTAGGTCAGACAACAGGTCTGAAATCTTGGCTTGAAATCTTGGCTCTATCTTAGCCAACCTCATTTCTCTGACACACCTATTCCCATTACTCCATTCATTGAGTCAAACCATCTCATCAAGGGTCTTCCTATCTTGGGCTGTCTTTCCATTCTTCCAAGAATGATGTCCCTCTCCAAGGATTGGTCCTTCCTTGCAACATGGCCAAATTATGGCAGACAAAGCTTCAAAATCCTTGCCTCCAACGAGCAGACTGGTTTCACCCTTTCCAGGACAAATTTGTTTTTGTTCTCCTAGCAGTCCACAGTATATTCCATTCAATACTCTTCTCCAGGACCACAACTCTAAGACATTGATTCTTCTCTCATCTTCAGTCACTGTCCAGCTTTCTGATGTATAACAAATAATTGTGAAGATCATGGTCTGGATCAGGTGCACCTTAGTCTCTAGATTGACATCATAGCTCTCCAGTACTCTAGAGAGGTCCCTTAAAGCAGATGGGCCCAATGCAATTCATCTTTTGATTTCTTGGATGCTGGTGCCAAAAGTGTGGATTGTAGAACCAAGCAAACTGAAACTGTTGGCAATCTCAGTCTTTTTATTGTCTATCATGATGCTGCCAATTGGCCTAGTGGTGAATATCTTCATTTTCTTGATGTTGAGCTTCAATCAATATTGAAGGCTGTAGTCCTTGACCTTCTGCATCAAGCACTTCAGGTCCTCCTCAGTTTGGGCAAGCAAGATTCCATCATCTGCATAACACAGACTGTGAGTCTTCCTCTAATCCTGATGTCACATTCCTTCTATGTTAAATTCAACCTCTCAAATGATCTGTTGTGCATATAGATTGAGAAGGTATGGAGACAGGATGCATCCCTGCTGCACTCTTTTCCTGAATTTGAACCATGCAGTACTTCCTTGCTCTTTTCTGACAACTGCCTCCTCCTGGTCCAAGTATAAGTTTCACATAAGCACACATCAAGTGTTCTGGGATTCTCATTCTTCTGTGTTAGCTTTTAGCAATCATGAAATCCTATAACTAGACCAAGAGGTTGTTGTGCAGAGCAAGGGAACACTGCCGTTTAAATCAGGAAGGGTGCGATCCTTTCTCTGTATCTATTCAATTGGTATACTAAGCAATTCAATTGGTATACTAAGTAAATTATTTAAGAAGCTGGACCATATGAAAAAGAATGTGGCATCAGGATTGAAAGAAAACTTATCAATAACCTTATGACACACTCATTTATAGATGACACAACCTTGCCCACGGAAAGAAGGAATTGAGGAAATTGCTGCATAAGATCAAAGCCCACAATCTTCAATATGGATGATATCACAACATCAAGGCAAAAATCCTCACCACTGGGCCAATAGTCAAAAATCATTATAGATGACAGTTTGAAGTTGTCAACAATTTTATCTTACTTGGATCCACAATCGACACCATTGGAAGCAGCAGTCAAGTTTAAAAAAAAAATACGGTGTTGGTAAAGTCTACTTTCAGCAACCTCTTCAAAGTGCAATGATGTCTGTTTGAAGACTAAGGTGTGCCTCATTCAAGGTACGGTCTTTTAAAACACTTGCTATGTTATCTAGGAGCTAAAAATGAATAAGGGTGACTTAAGAATTTATGCCTGAGTTGGTAGTGTTATAACAGTGAATACTCCAACTTCCAAAAGAATAAATATATAAATATGGAAAATGTATAGCGTTAGAGGCAAGGATAGTGACGCTTCCTCTTAACACACTTTGGACATGTTTCAAAGAGCCTATTCCTTGAAAAGGGACATTGTGTTGGAAAGATGTAAGGTCATGAAAGAAAGACCCTCCATAGGGATGGATTGACACAGTGACTTACAGCAATGGACCCAAATACGTCAGAGGTAAGGATGGCAGGGTGAGGAAAATTATTAGGGTCGCTGAGTTGTATTCGACTCGTCAGCACATTAAAAAAAAAAAGTACCAATAATCACTCGGATTTAGGAAGATTGATAATAGCTTTCGCGAAGATTACTTTACCTGGGAGAAAAGAAAAGCCAGGCTTTTCCATTACATCGCAATTTAAAGGAATTCTAATATCCAAACCTGTGATTGGTTCATTTCCTGGCTAAGAAGCCCGGAAGTACATTCTAGCTTCTGGTTGGCTTACTTGCAATGGTAGCAAACCAGCGGGGGGGGGGGGGGGGGGAGGAATTTTCAAACAAATCATAATTTAATGTCCGTGCTATAAAATTGCATTACATTTAATCATTTAATTCTGGTCAAGTTTGCTTGCTTGAATTAGATACTAAGCTACCACTCCCACCCCCACGCAGGCTCGTCTCGTGAGAACCTGCAGTTTCTAGTGGGCCGCGTAAATTACTCCAAAGTGGCCAGGACCCGAACTAACCTGTACCAGGAGAGGTAATTTAAAGCCTGGAGTACTGTACACGAGGCCCAAGCCAACACGACTAGCGCCTCAAGGTAGAACTCGACTCCACAAACAAGCTAGAGTTCACCACCAGTTTTCGCTAGAGAACAGAGAATGCTTTGTCCTGCGCAGCAGGCGCCGAGTTACCCAATCACAGCAAGGCGGGAGTTTTCAAAAGTCGCAAAATACAGAAAGACCCATGTTATATAGAAAACAATGTACAGCTCTTTTGTTTGAAATTGTGGGTGGCTCTGAAAAGAGCCTTTTGTGATTTAAAAGCAGAAAGACCCCCTCAAAAGCCTTACTTCTTCTTGGGCGCAGCCTTTTTGGCCTTTGCAGCCTTAGGTTTGGCAGATTTTGGCTGGGCGGTTTTAGGCTTTGGGGACTTGGCCTTAGCCGGGCTCTTAGCTGCCTTCTTGGGTTTGGCTGCCCTCACCTTCTTCGGGCTCTTGGCCACTTTTTTGGCCTTAGCAGCCACAGCAGGCCTTTTTGCTTTCTTCGGAGTCTTCTTGGCGCCCTTTTTAGGGGTGGCCGACCCAGTTACTTTCTTGGGTTTCTTGGCATCTCCCGATGCCTTCTTGGCCTTGGCTGAGCCGACTTTCTTACCCTTAGGTTTGGCTTCCCCAGAAGCAGCCTTCTTATTGATCTTAAAAGAGCCAGAGGCGCCGGTGCCCTTTGTCTGGACCAGAGTGCCCTTGTTCACCAAGCTCTTCAACCCAAGTTTGATGCGGCTATTGTTCTTTTCCACATCGTAGCCGGCGGCTGCAAGCGCTTTCTTGAGCGCAGCCAGCGACACGCCACTACGCTCCTTGGAGGCCGCCACAGCCTTGGTGATAAGCTCGGACACAGGAGGTCCAGACGCCTTGCGTTTTCCGGCGGCTGCGCCAGTCTTCTTAGCTTTCTTCTTAACAGGTGTCTTCTCTGCAGGTGCAGGAGCAGCAGGGGCAACTGGGGCCGTCTCCGACATGTTTTCACCTTGCCTCTGAAGCAAAAAACTAAAGCCAAACTGTCAGAACGGCGTGGTGGCGGCGCTAGAGGCCGGGGGTTTATATAGAGAGAAGCTGAATGGTGATTGGTTCCTTGCTCAGCGCGCCGCGCGCCTGAAGCAAAGCGCCCATGCTCTGCTCCCGGGCTGTGTTTCTTGCCCCTTAAAAAAGAAGAAAAATACAAAAAATCTGGGCACAACGTTATTAGGAGTTTGAGGTAAACGGATCCGAGAAGCCTCAGGCTTCATTTCTACCATTTTTGCTGTACCTACTCTTAAAACTGGCCCCCTGAAACTTTCCTGATTCCCCCAACTCTCTTCCAAACTTGGGTCAAATTGAGACAACTTGCGTGTTTTCGTTAAAAATACTATTTCCTGACGCTGTCTTTGTAATTCCTTCTTTCAGGGTATTGTTCTGCACATAGTTTTCCTCCTAACCGTAGATAAAGAAACTTATTTTTACTAAAATGTATAAAGAAAATCGGTTTCTTCGCGGGAGCAATAGCACAGGCTCTTTGCCGAGTTGTCTGCACCAAACTCTAGGAATTGGCATGGGGGTAAAAGTTTTTATGCACAAGACGAGCACTTATTTTGAAAAAGATTTTTTGTTTAAAAAGTATACGGGTGACCAGTATGTAAACTGGGTTTGATCCCTGTGTTTTGACGATTTAAACACCTGAAGAGGTATGGGGGTGGGGCTGCAGTTCAACTAGTTGGCTTCTAGATAAATTGTTCTAAATAGGTTCACCAGCCTGCTTTTAAAAATCCATAGAATACATGTTCCTATATAGAGTGGAAAATACAGTTTAAGCACCATATCTACAAAGAAAAAGTGAATCCTGAAGTGATGCAAGATTAGATCTAGTCCTTTAAGCAGATGCAAACTAGTAAGAACGTGAAATCCCAGTTTTAGTCCATCTCTCTTAAAGCTGATAATTCATTCAACAGTAGACACCTGTTTATAGATTTGTTCTGTTACTTAGCATGGAGTTCTTTAATTATTTTATTTCAAAGTTATATCTGAAATAGAAATCTGATTTTGATAGCTTTAAACATTATCTGTATGCACTTGGAATTATTATAAGGAAATTAATTTTTTCATCTTAATGACTGAATGAATTTTCTTATAAGAAAGCAAACAAAATATAAACCAAGCTGTCATAACTGACTTAATTGAGAGAATATGCTCATCCGTGGACTGTTAAATAAACATAATAAAAATTAACAATTGTCCCACTCCACCTCTTGGTTTATAACACAACAGAACTGAAGGAATTAGGTAAATTTTGGAGAATTAAGCACAAATTTAGTAATCTCCACAAAGTATGAAAGTAATGAAATTAAACCCATTTGTCCTATTAAAATGAATAAACAAGAAAAATTGGAATTATATCATTTCTCCTAATAATCTTGTTTCAAAAGATCTTATTATTCTGGCTAGTCTAGATCAACGGTGATTAGACAATTATTTCAGGTAAATCCAAGACACCATAATCAATTTAACAAGGTAATCTCTTCATGCAACTAAATACTTATGTATTCATATTTACCTGGGTTGGCTTTCATAGTTTTCATCATTCCTTGGCTGACAAATTTAATCTCTGGGACTTGGGATCATGGTTTATGCAGGGGGGAAAAGTACAAATAGTGGAAATAAAGGAGGTAAACTTCCAGAATTGCATCTGCAGAACTCTTCTTTCCTCCTTGGAGGTAAGTTATGGATGTCTGGAGAAAGAGTTTATTGGTCATTGTCTACAACATTGTCAATAACAATGGGCACAATTTTTGTTAGGGAGTAGGTCTATAAACTTTGGCTTAGGATCTGCACTGCTAACTCAAAGGCCATATACCTCTGATAGTTTGAGTCCAATAACAGTTTTGCCAAAGAAAGATGTGCAATACCCTTCATGAGATTTATAGACTTACAAACCAAATGGAAAGTGAGCTATGAGTTGATTCAAACTCAGGCAGTGATTTGAGTTTTAGATAGAAGGCAAGAGGTCTGGGACAAAATACTTGACAGAAGTTGTTAAATCGAACCTGTCAGCCCACTTAAAGGTAAAACATATAATCTCTCTCCATAAAGATCACTGCCCAGGAAAGCCTAAGAAGCAGTTATGCTCTGTCCAATAGGGACACTTTGAATTAAGATGAGTTTGACAGTAGTGGAATGGGTTGGGTTTGGGTTGAGTTAGTGCATTGAATGAGAAAGAACATTCATATAATCAGAAAAAACTTGGGAAATCATATCTTATTTAAATATTTATTATATGGCCTCTCCAGAGTATACCCTTGCACTTGAAACTTCCCTCCAAGCACAACTATGTGCACTACTTTTATCTTCAAAAAGAGACATTGCTCTCGTTGTTCATTATATGGCCACCAACTTTTTGTTAGAAATCTGGCTTTCACAAAAGCTTAAGCAGCAGACTTCAAATGAAAAATTTGCAGATTTAAGCCACAACAATTTCTATCAAAGATTGCTCTTTGGAAGCAATGGTTGCAAAGCTTCTTTTCACATATTTTGTTCCTATTTCTGGGAGAGGCTTCTCCTCAGAAAGGTAGAGGGACAGTGAAAGAGAAGAAGACCCTTAATTAGATGGATTGACACAGTGAGTGTAGCCATGGGCTCAAGCATGTCAGAGATTATGAGGATGGCACAGGACAGAACAGGTTTCAAATTTGCTGTTCATAAGGTCACTTATGAATCATACTTGACTCAATAACACCTAACAGCAGCAACAAGCAGTACTTTACATTTCTCTTGTGACCTGGAGTAAGGAACTGTGCTACCAACTCAAAAGCACATAGTTCAAATCCACTAGCTGCTTGTCAGGAGAAAGATGAACAATCTCCTCCCTTGGGATCCACTGCCTCTGAAAACGAGCTTAAAGGGTCAACAGCTATGAGTCAGTTTGACTCAAATGATGGTACACAACAAACAGCACTGCAGAAGAAAGCCCTGGCATTCCTATTCTGAGAAATCACAGCTTTTAAAACCCTTAGAGCAATTAGTTCTTCTCTATACACTTGGAATCCAAATGAGATAAGTTAGAGTCCACTTGGTGGCAAATAACAACAGGTAGATATAGCTATTAAGCACTTGAATGTTTTATTTAAATCTTAAATTTAAATAAAAATGTGGTTAATGGATAATATGTGACAATCATACTAACCAAAATTACAGGAGTCTGCATGAGTCACAGTTGACTCAGAGGTAACAATTGTCAGGCTTCTCACCTTGTGTTAACTTTTCTGCTTGATGTTTTGTTATATTTTTTTAAATAATAGTTTGTATTTATAAACCTGGTATCTGTACAAAAGCCTTGAAATGTGAAAAGAGCGACACTAACGTCAACCCAATCTCAATTCATAGTAACCTTATAAGAAGGATAGAAGTGATTGAATTTCCAAGACTGCCAATCTTTACAAACTCATCTCTCAGCTTTCTCCGGCTAAGCAGGTGGTTCAAATCACTGGATTTTTTTACAAAGTAGCCAAATTTTTGATTTGTTGAATTAATCAATTACTATAATTGGATTTTATAAAAGGGGAGTGTGGAAGAACATTAAGATCTACAGTTAATCGTACTCCAATACTTAAATGTCAAATGGTATCCAGAGAATAAATATTCTGAGTTAGGCATCTACCTTGGGAGAATAGATTATTGGTTTATTTTTATTCAAGTCACCTCTGTAGTTCCCAGAAGGCAATCATTATAAATTTTCATAATGTATAGGAATATTGGAAGTTGCCTGCTAACCATATGTGTTCATAATATTATTTTAATTCTTTTTATAATTTGAATACCATGTCACAGAATTTATTTTGGTTTATTGTAGTTACTAATTGGGTTAGTTTGCAAATGTAAACTCACCATAAATCATTTTTAAAATTTCGCTGCTAGATGCAAAGTTAGGTGACAGACTCCTGAACCAGAAGACCTATTTTAACCATAGGAAAGTTGAAAGTCTCAAATGGTTCGAATCCACCAGTTGCTCCAATGTAGAAAGATAGATAATCTTCTCCATACAAATGTACAGCGTCCGACGGAAGGTCTCTGAGGGGCCATTGACTCAGCGGCAGTAAGTAAAGGAATAGATTTCCAAATCTAAGATTCTTCAACCCAAGAACACGGACAATGCTTTCTGTATTAGACAACAGAACGCATATTTATCATTGGGATCCCTCTTAATCAAAGAATGATGGAAACAAGGAAACAATATGTATTTGCCCTGGAAAAGATATAATTATACAATGATGAACATTGCTATAGTTCCAGTGAGAATAAAATATATTTTTTTATAAAGAAACTTCATATTTTAAAATTACATCCTGATAGTCATCCCCTATGGAAAAGCAAAAGTGCCTTTTATGTAAGTATGATTAGGAGAATAGCATATTTGAAAAGGTACCAGGAGAGGTCAGAGTATCAGGCGACCAGGACCCAGACCAGGGAACAAGGAGGGGTCACACATTGACCCGCATTTTCCCTCCCACTCTCCGCCCCCAAGGCTTAGGCGAGAGATTGGCCACAGAATGAGAAAGAGGCGGGGATGGAAGGTGGCTTCACGCCCTCTCTTGATTGCAGTTCTCAAAAAGGTCCGCACTACTGCAATATAAACAGCAGCAGGTAGGTTTAGGCTGCAATTGATTCCTCAGTGTAACTTGAAGATGTCTGGTCGCGGCAAAGGCGGAAAAGGTCTCGGAAAAGGGGGCGCCAAGCGCCACCGCAAAGTGCTGCGCGATAACATCCAGGGCATCACCAAGCCCGCCATCCGCCGCCTGGCCCGGCGTGGCGGCGTCAAACGGATCTCCGGCCTCATCTACGAGGAGACCCGCGGGGTGCTGAAGGTGTTCCTGGAGAACGTGATCCGGGACGCCGTCACCTACACCGAGCACGCCAAGCGTAAGACCGTCACCGCCATGGACGTGGTCTACGCGCTCAAGCGCCAGGGACGCACCCTCTACGGCTTCGGCGGCTAAGCGGTTTGCCCCATGATCCCGCGCCTCCACCTCGCACTCAAAGGCCCTTTTCAGGGCCACCCACAATTTCACATGAAGTGCTGTCGCTGATAGAAGTAATTGATGGTCGTGTTTAACCACAAAGCTACCTACTTGTTAAAACAACCAACAAAGAATAGGGTAGTTAAAAAAACGGCGTCAGAAAGACTTTCTTTTGCTTTTTCAAGGAGACGGGGGTGTTATGGAGGTGGGGTGGGACTCTATCTAGTACTCTTCTCCAGCACCACAACTCAAAGGTATCAATTCTTCCATTGTCCTTATTCATTGTCCAACTCTCTGGTGCATAACACATGACTGAGAAGGGCATGGTCTGAATCAAGTACAACCTGGTCTTCAAACTGATTATTTGTTGTTTTGCTTAAATATGACTTCTGAATTCCATCATTACTTACTCCAACCTGCAATATTTGAAACAAACTAAATTCAATTGGTTCCTGTCATCGGGACATGGTTTTGGCAGATGCAGAACCATTGGTTCCTAAAACACTTTCCCAGTCAATTATATGCCAAAATGAGGCCGGATGCGCTTATGTATGTGAAGGCCCACTGAATCTACAAAGGTTACATAGATTCAAGGGCATGTTAAACTCATTTCTGAAAAAAACTCATTGCTGTCCATTAGGAATCCAATCCAGCAGATTATAGAGGCTTTTAATTTGAATGAAAAAAAACAAAACTCATTTCTGTCCAGTAGGAATCCAATCCAGCAGATTATAGAGGCTTTTAATTTGAATAAAAAAAAACAAAACTCATTTCTGTCCAGTAGGAATCCAATCCAGCAGATTGTAGAGGCTTTTAATTTGAATAAAAAACAAAAACAAAAAAAAAAACCACCCTCATTTCTGTCCAGTAGGAGTCCAATCCAGCAGATTATAGAGGCTTTTAATTTGAATGAAAAAAAAAAAAAAATAGCGCCCATCTTGTTTCCATAGAGCTGCTGGTAGACTCTGAACACCAGAGAGGAGTGAGCGTTGGGTCGTCAGGTCCCAGGTGTCCGTATTTGTTAAAGAAAAGTTGGTAATTTGTGAAGAAACAGAGAAGCAGAATTGATCATTACAATTGTTAGATTCTAAATCTTTAGATTTCACACATTGCCCTTTGAAAGAAAGGTCTCAGGAGGAAGCCATAAATGCTATTTCAATTTAATGGAGATTCTTTTTACCTCAAGTCCCAATGTTCTGGCAGCAGGCAGGGATCTCAGATAGGGCAGCAGGTTTTCCTCCTTTCTCAGAAAGAGTGGGAGAGGAGAGCAAAATTCCATTGTGTATAACTTCTCTCCTTGAGTGAGCAAAATTACGTACCTTGTATGTGAAATTCTCACCTTGCCTTCACACAATATTGATATGACTTCAAAGACTACTCTTATATTACGGCTTTTCTCTAGGATTAGAGAAGAGCCAAGTGAAATATCTTTAAGGTTAGCAGTTACAAAAATTGTTTGGATTTATGTCATAATGCTGGTTTATAGATAATTTTAATCTTTGTAAAATGTCTTCTTTATCACAGTATATCAAGTTAATATCAACTTAAAGGTTGATAACTGCAACTGCCCTTGCTTCTAAATTCACCGTTTAAGATTATAATTTTTCTAAATAGCTTTCTTCACCAGATGCTCTGCTGGAGAAGGAGGGGGCAATCTCCTCCTGTACCAATCAGATCCGATTTGACGGTACACACACAAAAAATAATTTAAAAAATAAGGGGAAAAAATAGCTTTCTTATAACTTAATGGCTTTTCATGGTTCTTTTTTTACATCAGTTGATGTGAGAGGGTTTCTCAGAGGTTGATATATTTCTACATCTAAATTCACATTATGAGTGATTACACATAAATAGTTGAGTGACCGTGGCTCACATTTTATGAGATCAGAGATCATTATGAGAATAAATAGAATATTTCACATTATAGAGTCCAAATACAATCTGCACAAATGGAATTTTTAAGGTTTTTACTGCAACCGGCTCTAAATTTATGGTATGCTTAACTAACTCCTACTCCTCCTATTTGCTAGTTTTCTGCCTAGTTGTGCACTGGCAATTACTGACAGTGCTGGTGCCATGTAGTCGACAATTTCTAGGGAACCTGTGAAATCCTAGCTTGGGTAGCATCTCTACACTCTATACCTGCACCTAAACATGTATTGCTCAATGAAGATGCAAAATATTACCACCAACCTGCTCTCCATCGGCTCTCTACATGGCTCTAGAGTACATGTACCAGAAAACACTGCATCCCTTACATTTTTTTATTGATTTTCAGTTTTAAGCTGTATCTGTACGTTGGTGATCTAAACAAGAAAAGAAAACAACAAACAAACAAAAAGCCACCCCACATTAGTTCAGGATTGGAATGCATACTGAGAACCAAGACCTCCCATGTTCAGGACCAGTATTTCAAATTTTAACAAATTGCTGCTGCATCTGACATCTTAGTTCAATGTTGGATGTATTCAAAACCAAACAATTCAGTACTAGAAGCCATCTGATGAATGTGTGGAAATAGGGTCACTTGCTATGGAAAAAGTAAAAGTTGGGGTTATAGTTAACATAGTAATTTTGTCAGTGGTATTTTTCCCCCAAAGGAACACAGACATGTGTTTTTAAGACAAGTGCTCTTGTATTTTACATTTTACCACAACCAAATTTAATGAATTATTTAAGACATGAAGATTTGGTGTCTTTAATCACTAGACCAATCTGTTTTCTGAATGTATAAAACATCCATAAGAGAAAATCTAACAATATAAAGATATAACCAATATCTCTGAATACATAATATACAGTGTCATCTGGGAACTGACTTGCTATGTAATGTCCACAAAAAAATAAAGACGGTCAAAGGCAGGGAATGTGGGAGGTAGGTACAGACATGAACTCACCTCCATCAACATCCAAGTTTGACAAACAGGGGGAAAGGTTGGCATGAGGCATCTAATGTCTGCCTGTCCCAAAGACTGCAACTGGCTAAACTGAAATACCCTTTTCCTTTCTTTAATTCAACTTAATGGTGTCTTTACCGATTTTTTTTTCATATACAAAGCCTTCCAGATTTTAAGCTTTAAGTAGCATGTTTTACATTGTGATAACATGCCTCTATAGAGTATGTTGGATATTTTAAGAAAACCAGGTAATCTAAAAGTTAAAAAAAATACATAGAATATTGCAACAATGAATGAATGGAAATCAAAAACCTCTGTAAATGTTCATTGAAAATAATTTGAGAAGCATATAGAATATGCAGCGGTAAGAAACAACTTCATAAAATGGTAAATAGAGGAGTATAAAGTACTAGTTAAAAATGCACAATACAAAACATGCATACAAGCAGGGGGAGAAAATAATACCCTTTTCTTTCCACACTAATGTTCATTAGACTGAAGTGTGACAGCATCTTTTCTGGCTAAAGTAGGTGGCTCTGAAAAGAGCCTTTGGGTTCAAAATTAGCACTCAATTGGGAGGTTAATCTACGCCCTCTCCCCGCGGATGCGGCGGGCGAGCTGGATGTCCTTGGGCATGATGGTGACACGCTTGGCGTGGATGGCGCACAGGTTGGTGTCCTCAAAGAGCCCCACCAGGTAGGCCTCGCACGCCTCCTGCAGCGCCATGACGGCCGAGCTCTGGAAGCGCAGGTCGGTCTTGAAGTCCTGGGCGATCTCGCGCACCAAGCGCTGGAAGGGCAGCTTGCGGATCAGCAGCTCGGTGGACTTCTGGTAGCGCCGGATCTCGCGCAGCGCCACGGTGCCGGGCCGGTAGCGGTGAGGCTTCTTGACGCCGCCGGTGGCCGGCGCGCTCTTGCGGGCTGCCTTGGTGGCTAGCTGTTTGCGCGGGGCCTTGCCGCCGGTGGACTTGCGGGCTGTCTGCTTGGTACGAGCCATAACGGACTCTAAGTCACTTCAAATGAACGAACAACTAAGGCCTACTGCTCCTATTTATAAAGCCAAGCTCCTCCTGATTGGCCCGAATATTCAAACTGCGCGCCTTGAATTGAGGAACTAAACAGGCTTGTGATTGGCTAGCAGGTCTCACATTAGAAAATTGACCATTGTTCTGTACAGTCGAGTAGGAACACACTCGTCCCTCCGCAGTGCTTAATCGTCTTTGTTATATCTTTTTGGTACTTACGCCACAACTCGTTTTCATTTAGTCCATTTAAGATGAAAAACAGCTAGGAAGCAACTGAATCGAGTTTTTGGTTTGTTTAGCTGCACTTTGAACCAGGGAAGTTAAGTCTCTTTGCCTTCTCAAAAGCTACTCTGTATACCTGTCTATGTATATTTGAAAGTTTTATTCAAAGCACTGAAATGGCAAAGTCGCTCTTACAATATGATGATGCTTTGTGATTTTAAAATGAGATATGAAGAAATGATGCTGCTTTTGAACAGACTAAACGAATTAAATGCCAATGGCAAAATTTTGAAACTATTTAACTTTTCTTTATAATTCATTTCCTAAAACACGCCGAAAACCTACCTCTGCAGGAAATTATTCCCTAACTTCAACATCGCTTTGTCCTTGGTAAGAACCAGACCAAGGGGACAGCGAATGGTAGTTTTGTAACCACAATGGGTCAGACAGTAACTTAATTTTGTAACTTACCAAAGTGAAAAACGTCCTTTAACAGAAGGAAAAGAACCTAGGGAAGGTTCCAATAACACAGCCAATCATAAAACAGGCTTAATTTGCATAAAACGTAATAAAATATTTGCTCCAATCAGAAATTGAGAAAGAGAAAGCTCTCATTTGCATAGTAGCTCTACAAAAGTGAGACAGCTGAAAGTCAGACTGCACTGTTCAGTTTTACTTCTGAGAGATCCCCACTATGCCTGAACCATCCAAGTCCGCTCCTGCCCCGAAGAAGGGTTCCAAGAAGGCAGTAACCAAGGCGCAAAAGAAGGATGGCAAGAAGCGGAAGCGCAGCCGCAAGGAGAGCTACTCCGTGTACGTGTACAAAGTGCTGAAGCAGGTTCACCCCGACACCGGCATCTCCTCTAAGGCCATGGGCATCATGAACTCCTTCGTCAACGATATCTTCGAGCGCATCGCTGGCGAGGCGTCCCGCCTGGCGCATTATAACAAGCGTTCTACCATCACGTCGCGGGAGATCCAGACGGCCGTGCGTTTGCTGTTGCCCGGGGAGCTGGCCAAGCACGCCGTGTCCGAGGGCACCAAGGCCGTCACCAAGTACACTAGCTCTAAGTGAGCATAAGCTCTTTCTCAACCTTCTACTCCAAAGGCTCTTTTCAGAGCCACTCCCAAACTCTTAAACGAGCTTTTAACATTGTTTGGCCTACTGTGTGTATCGTCTCATTGGAGTATAAAGAATCTAAGTGCTTAAGCGATATGAGCGACCGAAGCTAGCGGAATATATAAAGTTAAGTAATATATTGGACAGGTAGTAGTAACAAAGTTTGGAGAGCAAGTCTATGCATTTTTTTTTTTTACAATGAGAGTGGAATATATATTTTTTTAAAAGGTACATAATAATAGTATATGTTATCTAACCTTCATACACATATACAAACCCTCTATCAGGGCCCAGGAAAAAAACTAGTGACAGCAACAAAAGTGGTTATCTGGCAGGATGGGGCATTTGAATCTTCTGTGATTTAAAATTTTTGGTCATTTTCTATTTTCATGTGACATGATAAATGCTAGCATATGCAACACGTACTCCTGAAACAACAGTACAAGTTATTGAAAAAGCTAGGCCGCATAGAAAGACGTTTGTTAGCAATGGGTGGCCTGGTGCATTCCAAGGACAGGGTGTTTTCCACTATGTTCCTGCTGAAGCAACTGTGTCGTGCTTAGAGGTAGAGTTCTTTTCCTTCTAGGATTCCTTTAATGCACCTGGAGACTGCTTCCTTGTGGGCCTGGATTCTCCTTGGTTTGGACTGAGAAACGACAGGTATTCAGTAGTATCAGGAGACTCAAGCAGATGACGGCTGGGATGTAAGTGCTCAGTGACTCGTTTAGTGCCAGTAACGTGAAGATAGCTCCAATCATGAGCAGCGTCAAAAGAAAGTTACTGATCTCTTGTAGAATTGGTGAGCCCAGGATGAGTAGCAACCCAGACAGGAGTTCCAACCAGCCCACAGTCAGTTGGCAGCTCATGGGATCTGGCTGGTAGCCGACCACCTTCAACGGGAACACCTCAGCAAACTGCACGAACAAGGGTTTCATCTGCTGCGACACGGGAGCGGAGATCTGCTCCGAGAGCTTGGCCGCCCCCGTGAGCACGAAGAAGCCGCCGAAAAGGACGCGCAGAGCGTCAAGGAAGCACGCCATGGCCGCGCGCGCCCTCCAGGGAGCGCGGTCGCATTTTTTTTTATGAAAACTTTTTGCAAGTAAACCAAACTCGGAAAACAATCAGGTATAATACAACTTAACAGCTGCAAATTAAATGGTACCAGTGCCACTTGTCTAAAAGGACAAGATAGTGCTGTTTACAAATACTTAATACTTCAAGAACACTGGCCAAAATTTTATTGTCTTCCCACACCGGGAGTCGAACCCGGGCCGCCTGGGTGAAAACCAGGAATCCTAACCGCTAGACCATGTGGGATGACGTTTGTAAGCTCTCGCAGATTGACTAGATGTAGTGGACTATAGACCAGAGAAGACGTTATTAAAATTTTTTTCTCTCTTCTGGAAATACTATACAAGACATTTCAGTCATATCTTTAAGAACGACTAAATCAGATCTAAGAAAAAACAGAGAAAAAGTTACAACCTATGGATTAATTTTTTTACGTTTTTTAAATTTTTCTTTAATGTCAGTGAGTGCCAATCAGCAAAGAATTTAGTCTTGGATAGTCTTGCCTTAAAAAAGTGAAAGAATTGTTTTTAAAATAACAATTTCTAATATTAAGTTTAAGAAAAGTTTATTGGAGTATACAGGGTATCAATATTCTCCATTTAGTTAATATATTATTTCTTTCATGGAGAATTCTCTGTTGACTTATTCACCAAAATACTTTACTGGATTAAAGTGTTCAATGGACAGGCTAGGACTCATAGTTTATTGACTGAGAGCTTATTAACGTGAAGAAAGTGTCCAGTACTAGGGAAATAAAGAGTAGTCAGCAAGGTAGAAAAGCCCAAGTTCTCACCAGCCAGCCAATTAGGGAAGGGCTGTTTTACCCATCCACCAGAGGAGGGCAGTATCAGACCATGCTTTGGAGTGCAGGAGCCCGCCAAAATTTGAATTGAAGGATAGAAGGAAAATTGATGCCTTTGAGCTGTGGTGCTGGAGAAGAGTGTTGAGGGTACCATGGACTGCCAAGAAAACAAACAGATTCATCCCAAAGAGGATTAAACCAGGCTGCTCCTTGGAGGCAAGGATTCTGGGGCTTCGTCTGACATACTTTGGACATGTAAGGAGGGACTGGTCCTTGGAGAGGGTCATCATGCTTGGGAGGGTGAGGGACGGCGCAAGAGGGGAAGACCCTTTATGAGGTGGATTGATTCATTGACTGGGGTAATCGGGATGGGTGTGTCAGAGGCAGTGTGATTGGCATAGGATAGAGCAGGGTTTAAGGCTGTTGTACACAAGGTCGCGATGGCACGTTGTTATTGTTGTGGTTGTTGTTGTTGTTATGTGCCCTGGAGTCGCTTGTGACTCATAGCAACCCTATTTACAACAGCCCTAAACTCTGCTCTGTGCGGGACAGGATAATATCCATACCATACAAGGGAGTCCACTGAATACCATTATCATTCAGATATATGCACCAACAGACAGAGCCAAGGAAGAGGATATAGAAGATTTTTACAATCGGAGATCGATGGAACATGCAATCAAGATGCAGTGATAATAATGGGTGACTGAAATGCAAACGTTGGGAACAGAGAAGATTCAGTAGTTGGAAAACATGGACTAGGTGACAGAAATGGAGCTGGAGAGAGAATGAATTTTGCACAATGACTTATTCATAGCAAATACGTTTATTAAGATACATAAACCCAGGTTATAAACATGGATTGCCCCTGATGGTATGCATAGGAATCAGATCGATTACATTTGCTGAAGACGGCGTGTTATGTTGTTTTAACAACAACAAAATCTTGGGGAATTTCAAGTTACCTGAAGGTGGATTCTGAAGGGTGGAGCAGAAGAATCGACAAGAATAGGCAGAGTTTTAATTGAACTGCTGCCTTCTTTTCTGAAGCAGCCACAGAAAATGTCTTACTGGATTGGCCAAAGAAATTTTAAGAAGTAGGAAATTTATGAGGTTAAGTATGTAAACAAAGTTTACGATTTAGTATGTTGTTAAGTGCCGCGGAATAGACGATGACTCCGCAATCCTATGAACAACTGATCTGAACCCTGACCTTTCCTGCACCATCTTCATCACCTCTGACACACTAGAGCCCATTGCTGCATCACTGTCCATCACCTTGAGGACTCTCCCTCTCTCACTGACTTCCCACCTTTCGAAACATAATGTCCCTTCCAAGCAATCGCCTCTCTTAACATGCCGAGAGTATGAGAAATTAAGCTTCACCAATTTTGCCTCCAAGGAGCGTTTTGGCTTCACTTTTCCCAAAACTTCTCTATTCTTTTTCTTTTCTTTTTTTTTTCTTTTTTTTTTTAACTAATGTTACTGAACGTTTAGAGACTTGGGATTTCCATTCATTCACTGTTGCACTTTTTTCCCTGCACACCTCCTCCCCCCAATTCACTTTTCTCCTTGAAAAGTAAAAGAAAAACTCTTCATTGTTATGCAATCCCTCCCCCCAAGTCCACTCCACTGTGCAGCCTCATTCTGGACTCCTATCATGACAATAATACCCAATCATACATCCCTTGTAAACAGTTCTCTCCCTCATCTGTTTCAATGCAGTATACATCATTCCTCCCCTCCTTCTCTGTCTTCCCTCAATCCTGATATCAGTCCCATTTTACAACAGTGGCCCTAAGACTTCTCTATTCTTTTAGCAGTTCATAGAACAATCCCTACTCTTTTCCAACACCATGCCTTTCATTGATTCTTCTGTCCTCCTTATTCATTGTCTAACTCTCAGATACATAGCTAATTATAGAAAAGACCATGGCCTAAATCAAACTCTCCTTAGTTTCAAACTGGCATAATTGCTCCTCAGTAATTTGAAGAGATCCCCAACATCAAATGTTTCCAATGCAATCTGTCTCTTGATCTAACCTGTAAGACATGTTCAATATAGACAAAATTAGAAAGTCAGAGAGATAGGAAGAAATGAAGGAATCAAGAAGTGCCAAGATTAGTGAGGAACCAAATATTTAGAGCTCATCAATGGAATATACATTGGTGGCATAATTTTAGTGCATTCACCCTCTGCCAGTGATATGAAAAGAAAGTTGCTGTGAAGCTATGCAGGTGTCCTTGTACTTGTCCCAGGGCTAGATTTGCGTGCTTTCCATCCATTGAGCCCTTTCACTCATCGACTCTGGTTTTCATAATCACCAATCAATAGGAACTTTGATAAGGCTGAGAGTACCAGTGCATAACTAAGAAATCAAGCAATGTCCCTATTCTAAACATTTTAACCTCGTTTCCCTTGCTCCTCAATATGTATTTGAAAATATAAAAATAAAAATGAACAAATATGTTTGAAATTACTTCAATATCATAACTCATGGAATTCCTAATTCTTCTGTAAGCCTTTCTAATTAATCTAAAGCCTCAGGCACTGCCCTTCAAATACTACCAGAAAACCATGATTCTGTTGCCTACCACCAGAAGAACCATCTTGCAGGCAGAGGTTAGAATGGAAAAGGCAGGTTTGTTATACTTCATTATATAGGAGACCAGGGGTATAGCTTTTCCCAAATCTGTATTCAAAAGGGAAAATTTTGAAGAAGGAAGGTCAGGTTAAGGGCATAAAGTAAGCTCACATTTATTTAGCACTTTTAGAATTCCTGAACTGATGGAGCCAGAAGGGTTAATAAAGAAACAGTCTGCACACAGATGTCTCTTTGGCCTTCCTCAATCCAGATGGGGTGTGGGAGAGGAATGTGTCCTTGAGTCTGCATACCGATGGGGACCTTGGGCGCTTGCATACAAAGTCCAAGAATATTCATCTTTCCATAGCATAGTCTTATTCCTTCTGGTAAACAGAGATATGGAAGCAAGAAAGATTCAGTGAGAATATTCTGTGCTAAGCAAGTCCAAACAAGTCTAGTTTCTGGTAAATAAATTCCCCACACCCCAAATCATGAATGCCTGCACGTAGACTGGTTTTGGATGATTATAAATACTAAACGAGCCAGGCCTAAGGGTCTGCAGTTCTTGTCCCATCTGTGTGAGTGTGTGTTTCTTTGCTGCAGTCCTGTCCTGTCTTCTGTGTGTGTCTGTCTCTTTACGTTCATTTCTCCCAGGAAGAAAAAGTTGTGGACTGCAACACTGAACATATGTGAAATCCTGCTAATACAGACACCAGTTTTGGATCTCATGTAAATGAAAAAGAAACGTGTGAAACCACTGAGGATCTGTGGTTTATGTTTCATATCTGTCATGAATTTAATTGTGCACCACTGCAAATATGTATATAATACTATAAAGTGGAACTGCATAATGATATCCCTGGTATAAACCAGTGTTAGGAGGATTAAGGATGGAATTCCCTAAACTCATCTCAATCCTAATCTGATGTAAACTGTCTTCTCAGGGTGGGGCCAGGAATATCATTTATTTTAGTATTTGAGCCAAGGGATGGGTGACAGGAAAGAGATGCTTGTTATTAGCAAAAAATTATTCAAGAGCAGAGTGTATCTTTTTTAGTGAGGAAATTAAGTGGAATGTGACTCTCTGGATCCAGATCCCTTCATAGCAAAATGCCTTGTCACTGGGGAAGAGCAAACACATAGAATATAGTGCTCACAAATGCCAACAGGAACAAGTACTTTCCCCCACAGCAGAGAGAGTTTGTATCTGAGTTTGGACTTTTAGTCACCTAAACAAGAATAAATTGGCATTTGTTAGAGTTATGTTCTTGAAGCAACCTTGTCACAGCAGTACTAGATAACCAAAACTTATCTAATAGAAAAACAAAACAAAAGGTAGTGGATTTTCTCCAAAGTGTTAACCAGAGAAGAACCCATGTTTGCATCTACTAACAATGGAAGTACTCTCACTGATCTTTCAGAGATGTCTGTGACAAAACAACATGATAGTTTCAGTTACAATATGTTTTCATAGATTATTATTAGAAAAATTAACAAGAAAATAGAAACACTAGGAAATTGATATTGCTTCTTTAAAGTTTCTGAGTAAATGTAAAAGGATATCAGACTCCAGCTCTTCTCTCAACGCATAGACAAACACTGAATTATATATAATGCATTGTAACAAAAGTCTGCAGTTTCATCCAATATG